TAGCCTTTAGCCACTTTTTGCTAACTTTAGCTTCTGTTCTTCCAGTATTAGCCTTTAGCCACTTTTTGCTAACTTTACCTATTGTTCTGCCAGTATTAGCCTTTAGCCACTTTTTGCTAACTTCAGTTTCTGTTCTTCCAGTATTAGCCTTTAGCCACTTTTTGCTAACTTTACCTACTGTTCTTCCAGTATTAGCCTTTAGCCACTTTTTGCTAACTTTACCTACTGTTCTTCCAGTATTAGCCTTTAGCCACTTTTTGCTAACTTTAGCTACTGTTCTTCCAGTATTAGCCTTTAGCCACTTTTTGCTAACTTTAGCTTCTGTTCAGACAGTTTCTGCTCCTTCACTCAGCCTCAGTTATTGTTAATTACAGACCAGTCAAACAACACTCAGCTGACTGTGACAGCTTTAGCTCCGCCCCCTCAGGTGAGTCAGACTGACCTCGGGCCGACGTCGACGTGCTGCAGCTCCCCGGCCACCAGCGCCACCAGGTAGGAGGGGACGGGGAACTCCATGGAGAACTGGAATATCCGCTCCGGTTTAGAGTACGAGCTCTGAGAGGCGCTCATCAGAACCGTGACTCCGTCTGGTACCTGAGGAGGAGGAGGAGGATGAGGAAGAGGAGGAGGAGGAGGAGGAGGATGATGAGGAAGATGAGTCTTCACCTTATCTTTAATCTAGTCTTGTTTTAACCTCCAGGTTAGATTAGAATCATTTTAGAATTATTTCTACAGACTTTGTGAGATTTTAGCTGTTTACATCAAATGTTCGGCTGCTGTGACTTTTGGTTTTTATAACTTTGAGATGTTTCAGTTCCTTCAAACATGTCTCCTGTGCTTCAGCTACTGCTTCTGCTTTTATCTTTATTAACTTTCAGCTTATATTGTACCATTTTCAGCTAGCATTTTGATGTTTTAGCCTTTAGCTAGCATTGTCCTGGATTTTGCTGCGTTTAGCAAGGATGTTGCTACTTTTTGTTTTTAGTTAACAATTAGCTACTTTAGCTAGCCTTCTGCTACAGTTAGCTTAAAGTACTGGAATAGTGTTTTGCTATGTTAGCTTGTATTTATAGCTYGTAGTAAAGGTTCGGCTTCTTCAGAAGCTCTGTTTTCTTTAGCTGTTTTTAAGTTCAGCAACATGAAACCCAGGATCGTCTGTAAATGTTTGGCTGGTTTCAGCTGATTTAAATCACCTCGTTAGAAGCAGGAACAATCAGATCTTTATGGTCAGCCTCACAGCTGGTTCTGATGGGTCTGATGGGTCTGATGGTTCTGATGGTTCTGATGGGTCTGATGGTTCTGATGGGTCTGATGGGTCTGATGGTTCTGATGGGTCTGACACCACAAACCCAAAAGACAAAAAGTCCTGCTGATGTCTGTGTCCAGATCTACAGGGTCAGGGGTCAGGTCTACAGGTTCAGGTCTACAGTGTCAGGGGTCAGGTCTACAGGTTCAGGTCTACAGTGTCAGGGGTCAGGTCTACATGGGTCAGGACTACAGGAGTCAGGGTTCAGGTCTACAGGTTCAGGTCTACAGGGTCAGGACTACAGGAGTCAGGGTTCAGGTCTACAGGTTCAGGTCTACATGGGTCAGGACTACAGGAGTCAGGGTTCAGGTCTACAGGTTCAGGTCTACAGGGGTCTGGACTCACCCGGACGGTTGCGGTATACGTGCTCTTCACAGCAGGCGTGTCGAAACACGGGAAGAAGGAGCGGTTACACACCGAGTGTCCCTGAGTGAAGACCAGAGGACGAGTCTGTCCACAGGTCAGCTCAGAGTCCAACCACCAGATCTGAGGACAGAGTCCACATCATCATCATCATCATCATCAGGAGGGGTCAGCAGGACCACAAGTCCAAACACCCTCTGAAGATAGTCTGACCAGGTTAGTGACAAACAGTCCAAAACAGTCCCTGAGACCACACTATAATCCCTGAAGAGACCCTACAGTCCCTGAGACCACACTATAATCCCTGAAGAGACCCTACAGTCCCTGAGACCACACTATAATCCCTGAGGAGACCC